CGAAGTGTGTCTGGGTCATGCTGCTAGTAAGGAGGCAGCCCCTAATGAGCCCATCCCTGCTCTCCTCCCTCTCCAAGAGGGAAGGGAGAAACTTCAGAGTGGTCCCAAGTCAAGTTTGACTTTACAGAAGAGTTGCCCACTCTACAGATGACCAGGAACTCCCTGGATGATGCATGGATGCCATCACATCTGGCAGGTGAATCCACTGACCCAGTATTGAGGCATTTAGTTGTGTGGAAAGCGTTGTGTTTGCAAGTCCAGAGAGCACAGGCTGCAGAGTACTGCCCGTGCCAGGCTGGAGCAGGAATTGGGGAGGACAGGTAGGACTCCAGAGCTGGGAAAGCACCAGGCTCACTGTCCTGCAGAAAAGCCTCAGGGACAGTGTCTTTGGCTACAAAATGGCTGGTGTGTGTGCCTGAGATCCCACTATATAAGAGCACTGGTCCCTCAGCCCTTCCTTCTGGTAGGGGGAAAGCCCTCACCAGGAACAGGATCTTCTCTCCCAGGGCCGCAGCTCCGGTGTGCTGGGACCACGGCTGGGGTCCTGCTGATTTCTCTAGTAAAAATAGCAGTTGATTTACAGCGCATTGTTCTCCATGTGCATTTATGCAAAGAGGGTCCCGCAGGGGGGGAAACCCCTGTTGAATAAGGTTGCTCTGACCACACACCCCCACCAGCAAAGCACGCTCAGCCCTTGCTGCTCCAGCCGCAGGATTTCTGCTGCCCTACCCCGTCCCAAGTTCAGGGCAGCCAGCTGCAGCTCTGATGTGCTCCCCCAGGCTGCTTTTTCCGATGCAGGTTACATGGAGGATGCCAGGATGGTGTGGGTAGAAAGGAGATGAAGAGCAGCAGATCATAGAATCATACAATGGTTTAGGTTGGAGGGGACTTCGAAGATCATCTCGTTCCACCCTCCATGTGCAGGGACACCTCCCACCAGACCAGGTTGCTCAAAGCCCCATCCAGCCTGGCCTTGAACACCTCCAGGGATGGGGCAGCCACAGCTTCTCTGGGCAACCTGGGCCAGTGCCTCACCACCCTCAGAGCAAAGGATGCCTTCCTAATATCTAATCTACATCTCCCCTCTTCCAGTTTGAAGCCATTCCCTCTCGTCCTATCACTACATGCCCTTGTAAAAAGTCCTTCCCCAGCTCTCCTGTAGCCTGCCTTTAGGTACTGGAACGCAGAGGGGTCTCAGCAGTGGAAGGGTCTCAGCCACTGCCCGGGCAGCTCACGGTGCACCACAGTCCAGCTCTGCAGCTCTGCAGCATTAAGGACACGATTCGGTTTCTGGTTTGAATGCCACCTGTTATTCCTGATTTATGCATGTGGGGTTCACAAGGCAGCCTGCTGGCCTTCCCGCTATGTTGGATGCAGAAGGTCCCGGGCCCACTTTCTATTGATTTCCTTCCTCCCAGAGACCAGTCCCCGTCTTCTTCAATGTGTCTCTGACGGAAGTTTTATTAATGCAAAATGAATATCCCTCTGGAAAATGAAGTCCAGAAATTAATAATGAATTAAAACAACTTGCCACAGGCATCGCTAATGAGCTCTTTGTCTGTGCGGCTCACATAAAAGGAGGTCATTGCTCAGCCATTCCCATCGCAAATGGCAAGCAGATTAACCGGTAACTTTGAGTGCGTGGGTCTCTCCTGAGACAGCAAGACGGGGCCGCACCTCGGCTCGTGCTCGGCAGGGTTTTCCTGCCCTTATCACTGCTGTGCAGGTTTGTCTTGAGGAGTTTTTGCTACCACCTTCCTCCTTCCCTCCTCCAAAGACTCAGGTTGCCTGTCTGTGTTCAGAGAATACTGGACTCATCCCACTGGAAAGTACAATAACCTTGCAGAGCTTAAGAGGAGAGCGGAAAGTAATCTTGGAGGAGACTAGCAGGGCTTAACTTCACCGCTGTAAGCCTCTTCAGGGACACTGGCCCAGTAACTAACCTGGCACCGCTCCAGTCCTGGGTCTGCATCTATTGTTCTTTTCCCTTATCTTGCAAGGCAAAGGGTTATCCTGCCTTATCTGCTACCGCAGGCTTTGGAGAAGGCCCCACGGCAAGGGCAGTGGAGATCGTGCCCCTGCCGAGAAACGGGGGCAGGAGGGGGGCTGTGCTGAGAGTGGAGCAGCCGCCACTGGGCAGTAGAGAAGGGAAGGCTGTCACACCGTGCCAGCCACATCTCCGCAGCTTTCTCAGCAGCCAGGTCTCACTCAGCAGAGATAAGGAGGCAACATGTTGCATTTAGCCATCTTGCCTGGGGAGGGTGGCAGAAGGCAAGTGCTTTCAGGTGCTGCTTCTCACTGGATGCCTGGGGCTGGATACAGCAGTGCGAGGGGGAAGGGACGCTGGGCATCACTGCTCTATGATGTGGCTGGACATCAGAAGGGGATTTTACCCCTTGTCCAGCACACCTTGTGACCGTGCTGGCTGGCTGGAGCTGAGGGACCCCTCACTTCCCCGTGTCCATGGGCAGCCTGTTTCTCATCAGCCATGTATTACTCTGTTCTCCTTTCTCGCGAAATACAACAGCTCAACCTATGCCTCCAAGTGCTTAACCCAGGCTTGGGAAAATGCTGCTGTGTTTGAGGTGCGCTTTTTCACCACCCTTGCCCTCTCAAGTTGGGACACCCAGCAAGGCTGGATGATGTCCTGCCTCCTTGCTTGGCAGCATAATTGCTCATTTCTCAAATAACTGCAATGCATGCCTTCATGGGAATGCCCAGATTCACCTCCACCAACTGCCCCCACCAGTGGCCTTGGCCACCGAGGGGTTGGTCCTGCCCTCCCCTAAACCCATCACTGGCCATGCATTCCCACCTCTCCTCTTCTGGTAGCGCTGGGCTAGGAATAAATCCCTTTCTGGTGCAGAGAGAGTTTGGCCCGATCAGCAGAGAAAGGAGCAGGGAGACTTTGGCAGAAGAGGGGGTAAAGCAAGACTAAGGCTCTCACACTGCACACTGAAGGGCACAAAACCCCCTTCCTCTCTCTCCTTCAGAAGTTTGTGTTTGCTTGTCTGTTGTTAAACTGAAAACTGTTCTATGATTCTATGATTCACCACAGTGTCTGGGTACCTCATAAGCCAGACCGTAGCTTGTCCTTAAAAAGCTCTGGCAAAGGGAGATACATCTTACAGGAGACAGAGATCTTGGGAATGTCTGTCCCATCCAGCACAATGCCAGGAGAGAAGTATCTGAGGAGTCTCCAAAGAGACTGGTGTAGCTGGTGTGCTCTTTGCTTGGGTCCCTGAAGGGACTCAAGGGGACAGAGGACATGACCACAGCCCCACACCTGGTCTGCTCAGCTCTGAGTTACGTTCAGGAGCCGGTTCAGGAGTCTGGGAAAGGCAATACAGCAGGTTGCGTAGGCATAGCTGAGACTCCAACGGTTGTGCCTGAGAAGTCTGACTTGGGAATTAAAATGAAGCTTGTTGCATCCCACCTATTCTTTATCTGCCAGGCTCTTCCTCCTACATAGCAACTTGTCTCATATTTGGAGGTTGCTTTAAGCTAGTGCTGCATTTAGGCATGGCTGTTGCTTCTTTCTTTGCTGGCATGACCTAGAAACCACCCTTGTGTTGGGTGCACAGACAAGAAGAAGGATGGATGTTGCTGGTAACTGCATTGGGATGTAGCAGGCAGACGGGTAGGTGGAGGATGGTGTAACGCTCACATGAACACCAGGGAAGTATTTCAGGCTTGGCTCAGCTGTGTCAGGTACTAGGACAGTGCTGGGTTTAGGACCATTTTTAGAGAGCGGTTGAGAGTCTTATGAATCTATTTGGAAATTAAGTACAAATCAAGGCTTTTTTAAATATAATCTGTGTTTGTATTTACAGGACAGGACAGTTAGTTGGGTCAGCAGGGTTCTCAGATCCCTAACGCCCATTTTCTGCACTGCATCACCATTTCATCTCCATGTAACAACAGATTCACGTCTGGGGTAACTCTGACTCAGCTGCATGGCAGACTTATTGGGGCAGTCAAGCCTGCAGACAGCTTTATTTTCACTGAAGCTTGCAGCACAGAGATCTGTAGACCAAATCCTTATGAGAAGTCACCAGGGAACACTAGTGGGATCTCTGACCCCAGCTGTGCCAGTGCTGCTGTAACCATTGCAGCTCTGGGATCTGGGGCTATTACAGGCTGTGGGATCACAGGCTGCATCCACCCGGATCCTTTGTACCCGTTTCCTACCAGTGAGAGTCAGGACAAGAGCACTGCTATGCCCAAGACATCAGTAGCCCAGTAGGAAACACAGGAGTTTAGCAGAGATGGTGAAAATTAGTACAGGGGAAAGGATGCGTTAGACTTAAAAGTCAAATAAGGTTTTGCAGAAAAGGCAGAATTGCCCCGTGGTAGTAATGTGTCATCCTCCGGATGCAGTGAACAGCTTCTCTGAGCTTGGCTTTTACACTCTTACAAAGGGTATTTTGAAAGTGTGTGTTACTTTCCTCTCATTCCTTCCAAGTGTCTAAATTTGAGGACACATTCTTATCCCTAAATGACAAGCCATACTGAATGGGAAACTCTTTTGTTCTGTCATTTACTTTTTATTTGGCCCTGTCACATCCTATCTTTTGGCACTATGTATTTTCTTAGTGTTATGAGCATATATCTGTGCTGTGTGTGTGAGAGTGGGTGTCTGAAATGTGTTTGCAAAGGTCCTTGATAAAAAGCTTTAACAACTAAAATTATCAGAGAGGCATGAGTGAGCTGGTTCAGTTCAGTAGAACTGAACACCGGCAGGCAACAGGTCAGCTGTCTGCAGAGACATTAAGCACTGAAGAGGTCAGAATCACCAGGTTTTTAGTATTTACCTAGGAGGGAAACTACTGCTCATTTCAAGGAACTACTGTTCCTTGCAGATTTAGCTTGAATGCTAGAGGGAACGTAAAAGCAACAGCAGTGGAGTACCTTCAAGGATAGCATTTCCCTCCAGAAGCACAGTGGAGTTATACCCAAGTTCTCCTCATTAATCACTTTCTTTCATTTTTATTTTCCAGCCAAAGCTTTTGGCCAAGGAGTTGCTTGACTTGGTGGCATCTCATTTCAACCTGAAGGAGAAGGAGTACTTCGGAATTGCATTCACAGATGAAACGTAAGTGTGAGAAATCAAAGACCTAACAGGCAACTCTTAGATCGCAGGAAATCTTGGCAGTTTTGTCCTAAGCAAAATGACCAGCGTAGAAGATCTGTGTACCCCAAGGTCCTATACGAAGGTCTAGGGAGGTGTGGACCTCACATTGGAGTCTGTCCTGCACTGCCTCTTCTTCAGAGGGCTGGAGGCCTTCTCACGGCAAGTGAAAGCATTGCCAGAGGTGTGCAGAGGCAGTGACAATCCCTTCCTACTCTCATGTTCAAAGAGTTGGTGTCATTTGGCATTGGTAAAAGTTAGTTTAAGCTCTCATGGGTTTAAGATCCACTCACTAGTTTGACATTATTACTAGATTGGCGGAAATGTTCAATTAAAGTTTTAATCAGTTTATTCACTCAAGCAGGCCTAAAAGTAATGCTAAATTATTTCAAGGAAAGAAAAAAAAAAAAACAACCTCACAAAATTCCTCTATTATTTCTGAGGTTTTCGATCCCAGATTAGAGTTTCTTAAAAAAGAGAAAGAAGAAAGTGTGGGAAAAGAAGGGATTGCCAAATTTAATGTGAACAAAAAGCATTTTAAAATATAAAATTTCCATTGTGGAAAGGATTTGACCTTACCAGGAATCACACAACAGCCTTCTGGTTGAGCTAAACCAAAGGATGGGACCCTGACACTGCAGTCACCTCAGGCAATGTTGATTGTTCGCTTTGAACTCCAGCTCCCAGAGTCCTCGTATTACCACAAAATTTGAGGCTTTGTCTCAAGACAGGCCATTTCTACCCCCTGTTTAAAAGGCAAGTATAAAATTAGCACTGGAAAAACATGAAAGGTCTGCCAAATGCTATGATTAGCCCTAGATTGTGACCTCTCAGTGCTACTGCACAGTCCCTGCTACTTTTTTCCAGCTGCCTGTTTTCTCTCTGTATTCAGACTATCCTGGGCACATGGACTGTGTCTTGTATGCGCGCCCACCATATTCTACCTGGGTTAGCAATAGGGGGTTTTTGTATATTAATCAGGAAGAGGCTTCCCGCACCTATAGTGTTTTAAAAACCCAAGGTTTTCAAGTTAATCCTGTGTTCCCAGGACAGCTGAGTCGGCGATATTGCTGTCATGAGCCAGCCCTGCTCTTCTGCTGAAGTGGCAGTGAAATGCAAAGTATCTGCTGGAATAATGATTCAGGATTGGGTAATCAGAAGCGGCTGGATAATTGTACAAACATGTCCACATTCAACTCAGCAGCAATCACCCCTCTGGAGACAGTTCCTTTGGCAAGCATCTGCCTTGGTCAGCCTGAGGCCAACTCGGGACACAGCTCCCGGGATGGAAGGATGCTTGAGACCAGGCACGTGCAGAAGCAGGACCCAATTCAGAGGAGAGCCCAGAATCCCTCCCATCTCACTGACAGAAGCAGTTCAGCCCTGTAGGAGATCTGCAACCCAACACAAATTAATGAGACTGGTCCTCAAAGAGGGAGCAGCAGGTGGCACTGGCAACTTATAAACCTTTTTACCAGGGTGCTATTTCTCATGGGAAAGAGCAAGTTACCCAGTGGGTGCTGCCTGAGGGGTGCAGGAAAGCCATGCAGAGAAGCCAAAGCAGACTGAGAGATGAAAATGTTCCCTTACCAGTCCTAACAGCACAGGTTAAAAGCAAGAAACACATGTCAGACTGCAACCAGATAGCAGCTGAGCAGTTCCAGCTCTCAGCTCAGCTAAGTGGGCACAGGGCTCCCCTGGGAATGCAAGGGAAGCTAATGAGGAGGTGTCAGCAATTAGAGAGAGCCCAGCCTCCCCTGAGGCTTCCAGGTTTAACACAGAACAGTGTGAGCAAAGATTTGGGTTAGCGATGGGAAGAAGCACGAGAGGCTGACAGAGGCTGTCAAGGCAGCGCTTAAAGATGCGCAGCGGATGCAGACGGATGTGCACTGTCCAGATGGGATTTCAAAGGGCAAGGTGGTGGCATACACTCATTTGGTCACCTTCTTGACCTGTGATCAAGATGGAGCAGGGTGCATTTTAGCAGGAGCTCAGACAATCCAGACAAAAGATTTGGGGGAACCTTCACTAAATCTAGTAAATACAACCCAGCAACATGCCAGTGAGTCCTGGCTGATATGAAGCTTGGTTGGCAGCCTTTCTGCAGTCCCATAGTGAGTGTGACCCTTGGACTGAGGTTTCTTCAATGCTGTGAAAATAACCTTGACCAAAAAAAATATGTATAATATTTCTCCCTCAGTTGTAAAAGGCTCTGAATAGAGTTGGCAGAAACAGTAGTTGTTTTATTTGACTGAACACAGCCGAAAAAATATACCTGGGAAGTTGGATTGGGTCTTGGAAGTAGAAGTACATGTCACCTTCAGAAAAAAAAAGGGTTTTCTGTACCACAGATCTTAACCTGCAATGTGAAATGGAAGTTTAAAAAACATCCTTTCTTCAAAAAGTGGGAAAAACAGTCTCTTAATGTGTGTTTACAGAGCGTCTAACACAGCCCTATAGCTGATACAGACCAGGTACACAAAAAGAAACCCTTTAATTCTGTGATGCAAGCCCTCAGGGATTTCCTTCTCTTCACTCTTTGCTGAGTTTCCATGTGCCTGACTTGAAGGGAACTCATAGCCAGCTAAAACACAAGCCTGGTTCATAAATGTAGTCTGAGGTTGGCTAAATTGCAAGTTTAGAAAGAAGAAAAGCCACTAAAGTATTAAATCAATTCTTCTATTTAAGAGTAAAAGCTCTATGAGAGTAATTTATTTAGAAATGATTTGGACTGGGGATTTCCATTCATTAGTTGTGCTCTATCATGACAACCTGAGAAGAAAATCAATAGGAACAACCTTTGCGTTGGCGACTTAATAGTTTCTTGTGATAATATAGGGTCATTACTGTGTTCAGTGTGACTAAAATTAGATTGTCAGACTATTATGGAGGAGAGAATAACGCCTCCTATTTTAATGATGATAGGAACGCTTTATGGCGTGAGCCATTAACTGTGGGAGAGCAGAGGTCAAAAGGGTGTCCCTGTACAGCGCGTGGGGCCAAGCTTCATGTGAAGCCAGAAGAGCTATATGCTGTTTGATTAACAGTGAAAAGAAATGGAGAAAAGTCTTTTTTTTTTTTTTTTTTTTTTTTTTAGTTCAGCTGTGTATGTGTCTCCACTAACTGCCCTTTCTCTTGGCATCAGCTCTTCCAGCATTCACTGTGAGCAAGTGGTCGGGATTACCCTTCTGTTCGCTGCAGATGCCCCATCTGGGCCACAGGGAAGTTTTCCACGTCCTTTACTTGTCCTTAGATGTGAGTCACCTGCTCCATGGAGAACTACCAACTTTTGCATCCCACAGTTCCCTCTCCCTGTGGACCCAACCAAGAGCTGACCCAAACCCTTTTGCTCCCTTGCCAGAGTAGAACCTGCAGAGCAGCTTCTTCGGCTAGCTAATATATAGAATAAAAACTGCAAGGGATTGAGGCCCCTGTTATTTATGTTGCACTTGTGCTAGAGGCTGTACTAACATGATAAGGTAATGACAGAGAGTGCCCTTGCTTAGCTCAGGATCCTACAGCCAAGGGCATGGCAAGGGCAGAGTAGGAGAAGAGGGAGAGCAGGGTACCACTATTCCCTGGAATTCTCTCTTGTCTCCAGGAATTGGAGGGAAACCTGTTTCCACCCTGCAACCATTTGGCAGGGCCAAAATGAGGGACCAGGTATCCCACGTCCTGGTTGAACAGGGTGCTCACAGAATAATGTCCTGCTGTGGCGTTAGACCAGCTCCTTTGTCACCAAACCCAGTTTTCCAAAATCTGTATAGCAAAATTCATATAGCTCCTTGGGCTTTGCAGCCCCTTAGAAAATATTTCTGTTCATAGAATCATAGAATGGTTTGGGTTGGAAGCGACCTGAAAAATCATCTCGTTCCAACCCCCCTGCCATGGGCAGGGACACCTCCCACCAGCCCAGGTTGCTCAAAGCCCCATCCAGCCTGGCCTTGAACACCTCCAGGGATGGGGCAGCCACAGCTTCCCTGGGCAACCTGGGCCAGTGCCTCACCACCCTCACAGTGAATATTTTTTTCCTAATATCTATTCTAAATCTCCCCTCTTCCAGTTCAAAGCCATTCCCCCTCGTCCTATCACTACATGCCCTTGTAAAAGAAGGACTGAGACCTTAAACAAGAAAAGCTGTGAGCTTAAAGGGTTATTTTGTTTATGTCATAAATGATAGAAATTTAAAATAGTTTATATGGTTTCTATGATCTTTCTCCATGTTTGTTCAATCCAATATGAGTTTGATGCTGAAGGGGCATGAGTTGCTTTATTGGTCCAAATACACAAATCAATGTGGATCCACTTTTCAGAAAACTGGACACTAAGCACTAAAACTGTACAAACAGAACCACCTGGAAGCAAAGTACTCATTGATGTACCACTTTTTACTGAAAGCCCTGATAAAAGAAAACAGAACTGCTGCATGCAATCAACAACATGAACCCTGGGCACCAAAATCCATACTCAGTCTGTAACGTAAATGGACCCAGTTTCTTCTTCTAAAGGTGATTATGTATTTGTTATTGACACACCACCAGTTTAACTGCTAACATGAGTACAACCAACAGAGAAAAATCATCGAGCTTTCAATATTCAAGCTCCCTGTAGGTCACACAAAACTGTTTGCACCATTATTCGTGAATACTCTGATATAAATACACAAATCAATGGCGACAATGAAACAAAAGCTACTTTGTGTCTCTAAATTGAACCGCGAGGGAAATTCAGGTGTATATAGGCATGTACAAATGGGAACCCAGTACAAGCTGCCTAAATTGGTCCATGCAAACTGACAGGATTACTACATGCCTAGGGTCATATGCCCATATTTTTCCCTGTCTTCCATGGGACTGCGCTCCACGAATAGTTCAGCTGAAGACAGCAAGACGGCTTCCAGAGCAGAGTGTTTTGTGGTGTAACAGCATTGGAGTTTGGCTCCCCGATAGACCACATTCACAGGCGGATGCCAGTGACTCTTCACTGCTGCTGTTCTCTACATGCCACACATGCATGCTTGAAAACAAGGAGTGAGGTGACAATCTGCAGTGCAGAAGCCCTCAGTGCTGAAAGATTTTAAGTGGTAATTGAGTACAGTGAGCAGTTTGCTCCTGGCAGGGATTTAAGTGACCTTCCTCCTCTGAAGGAGCTTTGGATTTAAGCTCCATGCAGATGAGGGTAATGAAACTCTTCAACCCAAAAACTCAGTGGCAATTAAATGTGTTAATCAGTACTCACACCCATGTACATGAACAACATAAATGTATAATGTGGTATGCATACATATATGCATATATTCTTTTTGCACTGATTATATCAACCAGTTTCTCAAGTTAAAATGCAGTGAGAAGGAAAAGAGCACATCTTTTCAAAATAAGAAATACCTTGAAGTGAATTATTCACCATGGCTTCTCAACCCCTCGTTGTATATGTTAGGCAAACCCAGATATTTCTGTTGAATAAACAGTAGACAGTAAGTCCATTGTCGACAAATCGGTCTCTGTGGGAACTGGTGTGTAATGTCATCAGCTGCTGGTGGCTGCTACTTTGGTGATACAAATGGAGCTGGACAGGTTCAGGATAGGATGTCAGACTTAGTGTGGTGTTTCCTTGCTCTGACAGTATTTTGTACCTTGGCCTACATGGATAAATGCGCATTTTGTACTTTGGCGAGGAATGGGTGAGCACGTCCAGTTTCAATCCCCATGCGTACTGTGGCCTTCACAGTGAATTTCAGCCTTCCTGAGTCCTGTTAAAAGGAACATAACAGCACTTCAGGACAAAAAAAAAAAAAAAAAAGGATAAAGGACAGATTTCAAGAAGGGGGATGCAGCGGGAAATGTGGACGCCTCTAATTTTTGGGTGCCCAGGCTGAGAATCTTCTAACGGGGCTTATTTTCTGACAGTCTGGAGCATCTGTCTTCTAAAACCCAAGCCTTGTTAAAGTACACATCTGTGCTGAACGACGAGGCATGATGCAGAGATCCCACAGCAGCGCTGGGCAACTGCGTCCCAGCAGCAGAAATGACAGAGGGAAACCCCATCGCGCCGTGTGCCCAGCTACGCAGCCTGCTGAGAACAAGGCCAGTTAGCCCATACACCCAGCCCCCTTAACACAGCCATCCTCACTCCTGATCCCCTGCAGCATCACTGAACAGCACTGCCCCAGGCCGGGCAGACTTGCTCTCAGCCCATGTACTGCTATAAAGACATATGAAATGACTAGTTGGGCTTGAAAATCTGCATTATGTCACCCCTTTCCAGTAGCCACACTGCTAGTAAGTCTGTGCCCCTAACACACAGTTGAGGCTGCCCTTTACCTAGAGAAAAAAAATAGAGAAAAAATTTATTTAAAAACTTTATCTAGAGAAAAAAAATGACTAAAAGTTAAAATAACTTGGAGAGAAACACATAGGTGTCTAGAGCAGGGGACAAAAAAGGTTTTGGTCTTTTTTGTACACCAAAAGATGTCCAGGATGAGTTTGAAATGTCCCCGACTCCACCCGTATCACTTGCACCTAGTTGAGACTTGGTACTCTTGCAAAATTGATGCAAAAGCCACTTATACTGAACAACTGACTTTTATATGGCAAAATTAGAGGTGAGATATCTTCTTTGTAAATGTCTGATCCTGAACCCACTGGAGTGATGAGTGGAGTGGTTTCAAGTAATTTTGAATCTCTTAGCTAGAGCAAGGCAGCATGCTGTGTATGCCACGATGTCCCAGCTGGTCTCCAGGGCAGCCCGGGGCTGCCTGGGCTTGAAGGTCCCACAGTTGCCCATCCTCTTCTGCATCCGCATAAGCCAGTGCAGCTGTACAGAAATTCAAATTGAATCCCCGTGATTCAAAGCCTCCTGAAACTTCATCTTTCTCCCTTACTTGTATTTCTAGAAAAGATGGAGTGGGGGAGTGACAAATCCAGTTAAATTGCTGAATAGTTGCTGTTGTGTACTTTCTAAAGGCACTTCTCAGTTGCCCAAAACACAAGTGCTGCTAAGGAGTAATGGGCAGACCCTTGTGAAAGCTGAGTATGTTTGCTGACAGGGTACATTGCTAAGGCTTGTGGCAACCCTAGAAGTTAATTTAACTCATTTTTTTAAACCAAGCCTTTTTTTTTTTTTTTTTTTTTCATTTTCAAAGGAATGAAGAATTATTCTTGAGGATTAGCATGAGCTGGCGAATAGGCACTGGAATAGAGCTCAGGACATCTGAGTTCCATTTCCTGCTTTATTTGCTGCAAGATTCTCCCCAAAATCACTTTGATTCTCTCTCCCTGCGCTTGTCTAGACAGCCGAGCGCTGAAGGCAAGGGCTGCCTCTCCCTCTGGGTGAAATCTGGTCTGACTGAAATCAATAGCAAAACGCTCACAGGATGCAGCCCCAGCATCTCTGATGGCAATGGCAAAATTCCCACCAACTTCAGTGGGGCCTGAATTTTACCCTATGTACTTCCACAGCGCCTAATTTAACAGGGCCTTTATCTCAGCTGGGGAGTGAGATGCCCCTGTAATACAAATAATGGTATTTATAAAATACCTCTCACGTGCACACAGCACTCCACAATGTGGGGAACGTGACAAAGAACAGAGCTGCTGCCCAGGAAAGCTTCCAGCAGCAAGACACGAATGGATAAATTACAGGAGAAAATAATAGCGACAGGTACCATCTAGGCAAAAGCAAAGCAGCATGTGGTAATTGAAGCTGGAACGCTTCATGGAGCAGCTGCTTTTCAGGAGCGCTCTGAAGGAGGAAAAACGAAGGTTGGGCAAACCTGGAGAGGCTATTGCAGGCGTGTGGGTGGTAAATAAACTGTCTGAGGCTGTAGAGTCAGGTTTAGCCTTGAGTGAAATATTGCAGGCGTGGTGGAAACGCTTAACAGTAAGGATTTCTAATGAAAATCTTGACAGACTTTTAATGATACAACTGCTCCTGGGGGTTGTAATAAAAAGGTGAAGCTCATAACATTTGGGGCTGTCCTGCCTGGTCGGTGCTGCCAGCTTTTCACCCTGACAGATTGAACTTTAGCTGTTCGATTCCCAGACTGAAATGTTGCCAGGACAATATCGCCTCCGATCCTCAAACATCTCCTGTGCCTTTTTCAAATATCATGCAATAGCCGAGGGCAAATAGCATGTGCTTCGGTTCATCTTTTGTAACACCTCAGACCTCACTGCAATGAGTAGCGAGAAACCTCTTCAGGGCCGGGCTCAAAACTGTCTCTTCTCTTGCCAGGGGACACCTGAACTGGCTTCAGCTGGACCGGCGGGTGCTGGAACATGACTTCCCCAAAAAGTCAGGACCGGTTGTTTTGTACTTTTGTGTCAGGTAAGTGCGCGACGGCAAAGCCTTCCCATGGGATACAGCTATGGATGACCTGTTCCCCAGAGGCCAGGAAATGAGACTGTCAGTTTCTCACACTTTAGAAACACCTGTGGACAAACACTTTTACAGAGGTTTCTTTTGAGCTCTTTGGATTTGAAAACTCTTTTCACACGAGTGTAAATAAGTAGTAGCCACACTGACACCCATAGCTGCCCACAGGGAAACCTTGTATGAGGTCAAGATTAGACGTTATGTCTTTACATTTTTATTTGCGGGTTCTGAACTCCTGGAAAGTCCAAGGTGAGTAGGGCTGCGGAACAAAGACCTCTTTCTGCCAGGATAACCAACCTGAGCCAGCCACCTGGAGGGAAAACGCTCGCTTCCTCACCGGCAAGCCATCCGTTTCCTCTGGATTGTGCCCAGGGTGTGTGTTATGTCAGGGACCAAATTAATCCCAGTATAGCTCTGTCATATTTGCCTTCTGGACTCAACCACGTAATGGTATAATGAATAGCAAAACAGCAAATGATGGCATTTTATGGCAACCAGTTGGCTTCTGCTTGGGCATAGAACATATTCATAGACTGGACCGGACCAAGCCAGAAAGGTTTAAATGAAGATTACAGCAATTTGGGAGAATTTCTCTTCATCTGGGAATTTTGTAAGGAACTGTTAGTGCTTGGAAGCCGCTAGAAGCTGCCGGTGCTCTTGTGTACACAGTGTCTTTGCCTCCAAGGGAGATATTTTCTGAGAAGACAAATTTGCTCTTGCAGCTTTAAAACACCCAGAGAGAGGCTGGGGGTTGGGATGGCATATGTACAAAATTAAGTTGAGAGTTTTGACTTACTTTTAATGGATAGCTCATGCCTAGAACTAGCCAGCGCAGTGTTACTGTGTCTTTTTCTGTTAGCCTTTCCACTCCAGTGTTATATTACATCTGACATCACTCTCATTCATTCCATAGTACCCACAAGAAATGAAGACCTACTTTTGAGTTTCTTCCCCTGAGTGAAGCCTTTTTTCCCCACATAGTGATTGTCATTCATTTAACTTCAATTACAAGGGAAGTTTCTCAAGAGAAGAGACTTTGTTCTGTTATGGCCCCATATTTAGTGGTGGGTATATCTTAGGACAAATGAAGGCTGTGCAAAGCCCCATGACTCCAGAACAGACCTGCTGTCTCTCCCATGAGAAGAGCTTAGTCTACATTTTGGGTGCTTCAAGCCACAAGGGTAGATCCAGAGCTGAACATTTCCAGTGTATATGATTCAGATCCACCTGTGCTTAGAACTACACAAAACTGTTGGAGCTCTTCTGCAAAAGCGTTAGACTTCTAGGCAATTTTTTTAAAAACTAAACTCATTAAGAACACAGCAGCTCTGTTATCAAGCATCTTGCCTAGAGGCCAAATTGAGGAGTCCATGCTAGGGCAGGGATCCCACGGAAAACAGGGAAACAGGGAAAGCTGTGACTGAGCAAGAGCTAAGTGCAGATTTCAGGAGTGGAACTGCTAATTGCATGAAAACTGGTGCTACTGAGCCACTCTCATATTCATTTCAAAGACCACTCAATGAGCATAAATATTGCCATCTGTATTGTTTTATGAAAGTTGGCAGCACAGCAGAGACAAGTCATTCTAGCAGTATCTTAGCCAAGGGACATCATAGGACTATGGATCCATACAACAGTTAGTAAATGAGTGACCTCTCCTGTTCCAGAATCGTAATCCATAGGGAAAATCCATAGGGGAAAAGTCAGCATTCAGTGTCTGAAAAGTGAGCGTGTGAAAACCAGACTGACTATGTGCTTATGCTCTTATTTGTGGTGGTAATGCGTGGATTGTCTCAGTGCGTTACAATCTGAATTGGACTGGAAGGCCAGATGCCTCAAGAGTTAGGAATGGGAATTAACTTACCATGGCTTTTCTACTGGTTTTCTTCCCCTGTGGATCTCAGATGCTGGCAAGAAGTTGAAAAAGTTTCCCAGCACTTTAAAGAGTTCCCATGTCCATCCCCAAATCTGATCTGAGCAGAAGGCAGTTGGAGAAGAAATCAACTCCAGCCAGCTGGCTGAAGTTGGAAATGCCCCAGGTATCTGTTACCAGCAGTTCCAGTTCTGGCTTGGGAACTAAAGCAAGAGCTGAAGGAATGGTTGTGGAGGGACCCATGCATAGACAGGGTTGTATTTTCATAATCTGGAGGTGCACAGCAGCTTGCAGAGTCATCCATACCACAAACAGAATGCTCCCTCTCCCCTGCTGCCATGCAGTGGAAAGCAGCGATAGCTAATGCTGTATCATACCTAATTACAAATGTGTTAATTTTTAAATGGCTGGATGCCCATGACATCTACTATATCCTTGGTGAAGGTTTGCCTGTGTTTGCAAATACCTTTCTTGCATTACCTCTCCCAAGCACTGCAGCTGAGAAAGCTGAGGTTCATGCTGGGGGTCCTAATTGGGGGGATAGTAATACAAGTAACTGGATGTGCCAGATGTTCATTACAGAGAAATCTGTTTACTGTATCAGGATCATGTGGGGTTTTCCCTCTAGTCGAAGTAAATGTACAATTCAACCACATATGGTAACTACAGAAGACATTAAGCTTTAGGCAAGAATTGTAAATAGTAGTCTGTGAAAAGGAGAAGCTACAGAGGAACCATTTTCACCTTTTATGTGACCATCAATTTTTTTTTACCCTTAACATGTCTGCAGCAGTGTTGATGGCCTGCACGCCCACCAAAGGTACCGTAGTTTTTTGATTGCTCTAAAAGTATATTTAAGGGAAGCATGCCTTTTTAAGCAAAGGCTTCTTGGAGGAACCGTACTGAAAATAGGAAGTTTCACAAGCTTTGCAGTGTGAAATTCTCCTCCCTTATTTAAATCTCTGCAGTACTGTTGAAGCTTCATCTTTTGACACGCATTTCCTTGGGGTCTGACACTGTTGAACATTGATGGCCAGTGTCTTTACTCTCTTCCGTAATCAAAGACCAAAAATTTCACAGCACTGTGTCAAAGAAGGAGGATTTTATAAGGAAGTTCTTAGCATTAGTTTGGAAGAAATTGCTTCTGCCCTCGTACACTTGCACAGCTAACTGAAGCCTCTCCGTCTTCAGGTTGTCATCTAATGCTTCTCTGGAAGCTTTCCACTGAGAACAACATTGGAATCTAGGAAGCAATCAGAACTGCTTGGGCAGCTGTGAACTGCCCCATGGCTATTCTTGTGCAATATTATTTTATGAGACTCTGCTAATATCCGTTTATATAGCTTTAAAGCCATACATGAAAGCAAGAGAGAGTGCCATGTGTCTTGCAGGGCAGGTGGGATGTCTGGCAACAGCATGGGAGTGATATTAGTTCTCATCTTAGAATTAGCTTCCCTGGGTGGCTTTCTAAAGCCCTGGTCACTTGGTTGTTGGTGAAACTCATTCCCTGCCTCAGGGGGTTTACAGTGCAGATAAACCAAGTCAGATGAGAGTCACAGCTGAAGTCTGGGAGAAGCAAAGGATGGGGATGAAGGAAGGAGGAATTGCTTGACTAGCTGATTTTACAGAGACCAGAAGAGAATAGTGAAATTGTAGCTCACAACATGAGCTGTATGGCAAAGGGCAGGAACCTAAGTAAAGTGTGTAGACTCAGGCAGCAAGGAGGTCAGAAGAAAACAGGGCTAGCAGGGGTTCAGATAAAGGTTGTTATACTTTTGGCAGGGAAGGAAGCACTTTGCCCTAACTCTCACAGGCAGGAGAAGGAAGGCAAAGTTACTCCCTTTGTGTAAATCTCTGAGGTGAGAGAGGACCAGAGCATAGACATGCTGTTTGTTCACGGAAAGCAAAGTTGGCCAGCCTTTGCAGTGAATTCTCATCCTCAAACAATGGCCTCGTGGGATTAGCAATCCTTAGCTAGGGAACCACCAGCATGGGTCTGATCTCTTTATCTTCTGGTTGTTTGTCATGCTGTTAATTTATATGAACAAGCTCAGCAAATAAAATTCACTTTACTGGTGGATATTTTCCCAGGAATGAATATATGTGTTCTCAGGGTAGCTCCACCAGCTAAACAGTGACAACTCACTGCAGAAGTCGTCACGCTAAATCAGAACATCTCTCACTTGGAAAGGCTTTCCTTTCAGAAAGGCATGGAAAAAATGTGAAATAAATCCTCAGTACTCAAATACACTGTGGGGCAGAGTTTGTATCTATGGCCCGGCAGTATTCCCACAAAGGAACGCCTATGTCCAGCAACGTCTGGCATGCGTTCATACGTACTGGCTAGGCTGAAGTCAGCATGGGAGCTGTGGGGGCTCAGGACTCTCAATATTGAGGCCAGATGTTTTGCCAGGTTACCACAGTTACTACAGAACAAAGTGGCCTTAAATAAGAGACCAGCACTGAAACACGGAGTGCAAAGCTCATGCGTGTCATTGCTTCATTTAACCTGAAGGAACACAGCTCTGTGTGCACCGGTGGTGGTCCACGTGCGAGGCAGGTGGGACAGATGTCTGAGATGGGACTCACCACACCAAACCTGAGATGTTTACCTGTATGCCAGGGTAATTAGCACAGCCTCCCTGTATAACCAGTGGAAAGAAATAGGCACTTTTCAGGAAAAAATCATCCGTCTTATTTTAGATGACTGCTTTGGAATTCAATAAGGTGCAGTCTAAAATACCTATGCCTCTTCTCTGACCTCAGACCCCTGCTCAGATGTAGGCATCTACATTGTAGCTACCTCTTTTCACCTGACGAATCCCCTCTGTGTGCATCAAGAGCAGCCTATACATTCAGAATTTCAAACCAGGTTGGCACAGCCAGGATTGAGGAGGCATTTCCCATCTACAAGGCTTTGCATGACTATCTGAACAGAATTGGACCAGATTTCAGCTGCTAGTGAGACCTTATTCTATTTTAGTTTTTCAGCCCTCCTTCATACCCAGTCTTTAAACCTGTATTCCATTAGAAAAAGACTAATGTTGAAAATGAAAGAAGCCGGAGACCATTTGGAAAC